AGTTCCAGTTGAATATTATCAGATCATTATCCAAGTCCCATTTTGGCCATCCACAATAAAAGTGCTAAACAACATTGCCAAGTGCAATTTGTCAGCTATTACTCTGGGGGGAGTTGTATCAAGCCTGTTTAGCTTATTAGCAAAATTAAATAACACTCATATCTCTCGTCAATCAGTCAACTTAAATATTCTGCACTCAATACACTATGTACTTGTAAACATTATCGTTCTATTAAGCTTCAAAACTTTTAGTTTGGTTGTTCAATGAATCTATAGACTTTCTTTCTATTTTCAGCTAAACAGGCTTGATACAACTGACCCCTGAATTTTATCACTTTGACAGTGTTATTCTCAATTCAATACTAACAATTTGTTTACTGATAAACTTTCCTCCACTGTAATATTTACTTATATTGCAAGTGCTAGTCCAACAAAAGCAGCTTATGGAGAGGTAGTTACTAGCTAAGTAAGGCAAATTATATTTTTTGAAACCCAATTATCTTGAAAACCAAAAGGCTGTTAATTGTCTTAGGTTTTCCATCTCACCCCTAAGTTCTTATTCTTGTTTTACAGTTTTTACATGAACCATTCAATAATATTTTTTTATTTTTTAGAGGCTGGTGTCAGTTCACTTGATTGTTACATCCAAAATGTTTCCATGGTCAAGACGACACCTTCAAAGAAAAGGTATTTCAATTGCACATTGCAAGCGAAAGATGATCCAGTCAAAGCAGTGTGCTACTCCCCTGATAAGCATTCTGAATTACAAACTGTGGCAAAGACAAGAAGTCCAATTAAACTTCAAAACTTCAAAAAAACTGACTCTAGCAAAGACATTGTCATCACCAAATTTACTAAAATTACTCCTCTCAGCAAAGCTGATGTTGGCTTCAGTTTTGAAGAGAACATGACAGTCAAGTCAGCTGATGCAGTGGTTAACATATCATCCATAACCAAACTTGCTCCAGAACAGTTAATCTCTGTAACAGGGCCTTTTTTAACATACAAGCTGGGGGGGGGCAAATGCCCCGCCAGTCCCCCCTTGTGCCCCCCCACGAAATCACATTTTGCCCCCCCAGGAAAAGTCCCTTTTCCCTAAAATTATAGAAACAAACCAGCGAAGATTAACAAATACATAAACGGAAAGTAAGTTTTAGGCTTTATCCTTTGTCCTTGTTTAACAAAATCGATTTAAATTGTTACTTTTTTCTACCACTAAGTAATGATAAATTATTGTTAATATTTTTTTTATTTTTTGGATGCTCAGAATGCAGGAAATAGCATTTCCGGGTTTCAAATTTCAAAAATTTTCTGGGGATTAATTTTCTATAGTTGGCCTAAATTTTGGAGCAAATTTGGATGCTCAGAATGCAGGAAATGACATTTCCGGGATTCAAATTTAAAAAATTTTCTGGGGGAATACTCCCCCAGACCACCCCCCATTCATGAGTGGTATATTGGCGACACACGTGGCCTTCAGCCATTGCTACCCCCCTCTAATATATTATATCACAGAAAAGTCCCTTTTCAAAAAATGCCCCCCCCCCCACGGGAAAATCCTTAAAAAAGGCCCTACTCTGTAAAGGCTCAAGTTGTAAGTGTGTCTGGTGTTAAAAAAATTACACTGCCTCAATCTAATGATACCACCAAACTATCAAAACAAGAATTAGTTATAAGAGATACAACAGCATCAATCCGAGTAGTGTTATGGGGAAAATATGTCAATGCTGTTCAACCAAAAGTCACATATTTGTTCAAACACTTGCGTGTGAAAGGAACCAAATTCGAAAAGTACCTCAACACACCAAAAACCGATCCATTTATTTTGGAAGAGTGCGAAGAATTCCAGCAACCCCTTGTTGAAGTAGATGATGAAATAATCACATCGTCAACCATTAACGCAACTATCCTTGGTATCCAAGATGCAACCAGCATCAACGCATGTGTGTCTTGCCACAGACCAGTTATTCAGAAAGGCAACTCCTCACCACTTGGTGTGTGTCAGTCCTGTCACTTAACACAGCCACTTTCAAAGTGTTCTGTCCAGTGGACCCTAAAAGTACGAGTCCTGACCACTGCCCTACCCAGTAACAAATTGCTGCTCACAATGTCCCATGATACTGTTGAAGATCTGATGCTTTTCATAAATCCAATACTCAACCTAGCTACTATATCGGAGGATGAGCTGGTAATTTCCATTTTAGAAGCTGAAAAAGTAATTCAATTTACGTATGACAATTTTAATAAAGTGACAGCTATAGAGCTTGTATGAACTATGAACTATTTTAAAAGCTGAAACAGTAATTCAATTTACATATATGACATTGCTGAAGTCATAACTATACAGCTTGCATGAACGGATATAAATTTCCATTTGGTTAACTGAGTTGAGTTTAACATTAATATTAGTTATGTTATGTTGGGGTACATATATTTAACAATTTGTGGTCCATTTTGATACTGTAATGGCTGGAACATTATGCTGCCATGCAATATGTTTATGTTATAATTGACAATTATGTTGTGTTATGTTGGGGTACATATTTAATAAAAAAACTGTGGTGCATTCTATTATTGTATCAAACTTTATTTTATCTTACCTGTATTCCTGTATAAATAAAGCTAAAGCGTGTTACGGTCCCTTATTTAGCATTCTTGGTGTTCACATATTCGCCGAATGATAAGAAATTAGAAATCAGCGATATAAGAAATAGTATGATTAGTATCCGCCAGTGCTTCCACAATCCTTTCACAATCTCAAAAATTCTTTTTTTCCGACAAAATTTCCCTGCCACCCAAACGCTGGAAAAATTCAGAGAAAAGGTATCATAGACCCTACGAGAAATCAAGTATGGTCTATGGCATAGGCTATAGGTCATCGTCCGATTTCATCACGTCACATAATCCATGATTATTACTAGTAATAAAAGTATTTCTATTGATGTGTTTAGAAAGATAACCATAATGTGCACTTGCAGTACAAATGCGAAATCATGGATATGTGCATATACCAGGCCTTCAAAATACTGCATTCAGGGCAAAGACATCAATATCGATATTATATAAAGTATAGTGCTTTATAGAGATTTCGAGCACTGATATAAGTGATAATCTCACATGTGAAAATTATCGAATTTCAATTAGTATTGCTTTTCAAAGACTGTCCTTTATATAATAAACAGAAAAATACATGGATCCGCTCACTCGTGAGATATCATGTTCAACACTCTAAATAAATCTGGTATTTCCGCGCACCCATGAGATTATTTATGATAATTTCACATGTGAAAATTATCGCTTTTCAATTATTTTTATTTTATTTTATTTTAAAAATTCAATATAGATGCATATACTACATGAATAACAATAGCATAATATAAATACACTAACAAGGCTTGAACACATGTAATATGAGATATCATGTTCAACACTCGAAATAAATCTGGTATTTGCACAAAATCATAATTGATTCATTCCATCAGATAATTGAATTTCTAGTTCATGACAGTCAGTCACAGTAATTTTAATTTGTTTATAAATACTAAACATGTTACTGTAAGTGGTAATTGGTTTTATAAATGATAACTGTAATTTTAATTTTACAGAAATTCATTTGGGTTTGTTTTCTTTCCATGTTTAGGGAAAGAACCCCCCCCCCCCTCCCAACTATATGTATCCAAGGCAGCACTTCACTTGCGATAGTAACTTCTAGTTTTAATATATTTGTTATAAATATCATCTTAATTAATGGTGAAAGTTCATGAGAAGGGAGAAGGCTGTTGTGTATTGCAACATATTGCTTAGATTTTTTACTACATTGTAAGAAATCACCACACTTGTAGACTTTTAATCCACATAGTGTAGTTGTTAAATGAGTTGTATTCATATATAACTGGAGTGGTATTTTCAGAAGAAGCTAATACACCAAATGAAATCAGTTTATAACAACTGCATAGAGAATTTCGTCTTAATATCTGCTAGTCTGCCTGTCTTTGACCATAATATCAGGCTGCTGGAGTGCCTCCTGACCAGTATGTTGGAAACTTGTGTTATTTGCATGTTGCAAACTTGACTATAGTTAACTACCTACAGCTTATTCAGTTATGTCATTTTTTCTCATTTTCTTCCTTTCGGTTTTCCTTTCTTTCTTTCTCTTTACTTTTTTTCTGTCGAGACTTTTATGCTTTACCTAGCCTGCGTAGCAGGCGGTATTCGCGGGCACGAGAGAATGGGAAGCTAGAAACACCGCCTGCCCAAAAACTACACATTCTGAGTTCTCCCCGGCAGCTGGGTGCCGTAGCATTCTGATTGGTCAGAATGTTGATTTTCAATTTTTGATTGACAGGAGTAAAGAATTAGAATAATTAGTGCTAATTTTAGAAGTTACTGTTGCCGTATTTATAATATAAACTATTGTTATTTTCGTAATTGATACCGATATATCGAGTGATGGCATACTTAACCAAAAAATAACTAATGTATTAATTGAGAATTAAGCGTTGAATTCTTTAATCAAAGCTCATAAATCGCTATAATGTTGACATCGACTAAAACTATCGCTATGAATGAGGACATATTGTTACACTGAATCAAACATGGTATTTTTGTCTTCATAGCATTGAATGAACCGAAGATATGAAACGTCAAAGCCGTATATTTGCACTGGTGCAAATATGTGAGTTTGACAAATAATTAAAATAAATACATTAAGATGGGCGGGACCATGCGGTGGGCGGAACTCGGAATGTGTAGTTTTTGGGCAGGCGGTATTTCTAGCTTCTACCGCCTGCTATGCAGGCTATGCTTTACCCTCCATTTTCTTCTGTCAACCTCAAACATTTTCTGGGACCAATGGTCCAGCAGTCCGCTATAGAAGATTACTACGCCAATTCCACACTAACTCCCACAAACGATATATTTAATCAAGAAGATATCAAAATATATCATGACAACAATGTTTATGTGAGTACTGCAACTCCAACGAGGTGGAAGATGAACATCATTTTTCTATTTCATGTAAATATTACGAACAACAAAGAAACGATTTTCATGATGTTCTCCAAAATACAAGCAAATCTCCAATCAACTGATGACTTACAAAAAAAATCTCATCCAATGATCCTAATATAGTAAGCACTTTCTCAAATTACATTTTTACATGTTTTAAGAAAAGAGATGAATGCCTTCAAACTGGCATAGTACAAAACATGGACTGGACCCAAAATTGGACTCAAAATTTTAGCCAAAATTTTGCCCAAAAATCCATTATTTTTTCAGAGAGAAACAACCCTCAGAATATTGTGCTTTGATTTAATTTGCATAGGCAAAAAACTTCACGTTCCATCACATTTTCAGAACCTATCTAGCTATTTGTCTTCCAAAATTCTATATTCTATTTTCTAAACGTTATCTAGGGTGTTACATGTGTTTCTAAACGTTATTATCTCGTAAATAATAAACCTTTGTGAAATATCTTTGCGCAATGGTCACAAATACATCACATCGATATGAATCATTCCATCAATATATACATCAATATATAGTTATTTTAATTATATACGTTTTATGTCTGTATAACACGCCCTCTATATATTCCGGCATATTTATCCTCTAACAAGTAACAAGTTCACAAAGTTTGTTTTGTCCATATATTCTAATATTTATCACAACTAGCTATATGTGGGCTTATCATTATGCACATATTGTATTTCACTTTATGTCGTGTGCCATGTGTTAATCGTGGGTCTTTTTTTTCTTCACTAAAACTTATTCGTGTTTCAAAAACTATTACAGTATATATAGCTATTTTTGGAGTTATTTTGTGGTAGGCAGTAACCGTCACATAGTATTTACCGATTTGAAAGTGGGGTCAACGCCTAAAATGCAAAATTTTGCTGGATTTGAACAAAATCGAGCAACATCATTGAGTTGATGATCTGTCGTCTATATTATGCAGGGGTCAGACAATGTTTCCACTTTTCGGACAAATGCTTTGTTAGCATCCCTCACACCTTCTTTGTGCATTTCTATCAACTCCAAAATCTGGTCATTGGGCTGATGATCCCGTGTGGGTCATTGGGCTGATGATCCCATGTGGCCCTTTTAATGTGTTTAACTTGTCGCACATTCCTGGCATGGCAGGCAGCATTCCTAAATTGTGTTATGCCACCTTGTTTATCTATTTTTTCGTGGAATGCTACGGTTGGCGATTTTATCTCGTCACATAACACCGATATTCTTTCCTGCGAAGCATGCGAAGTCCGGTAATATCTCGTCGATTTGTCCATAGTGTTACCATGACTTTGAACACTGACTTGGTGTTCTGCTCCTTTGAAGATGTACTGCACAAATACAAGTCCATGCATTTCACCTTTTTGGTCTATGAAACATAAATGATAACTGGATATTTATGGGCACTGTATATACTATATATCTAAATATAATTTAATTTAAAGAAATAAATCTGTGAGACTTCAGGCACAGTCAAACGAGAAGAGCTGATGAGAGTTTCAACTCTCCCTATCATTTGACCGCCAACACTCACCAAATCTCGTCGACTTCGAACCGGTTCAAACTTTGACTGGAGTTGATGAGATTTTGTCATCCTCATGTTGAGTTGATGAGATTTTGTCATCTCATCCTAGTTTGACCCAGCTTACGGCTTATTATAATAAGGCTTATTATACACTTAATAACTATATACAGTCATGCAGATAAATGTTAGGTTAACAGAAACAGTGCATTTCAGAATGCACCTGGGCCTCCCCTATTCAAGATACACTCCAGCGTTTCTGCATTGAGCATACACTGATTGTTATGCTAGAAGTGCAAGTTTATCCAGTTAGGCGACTCGTTAATGACTTCACAACCCAAAATTCATAAAGCGCAAAAATTGAGAAGGAGATGAGATACGAAGAAACCTATAACATTCACCTACAGTAAACCATCATGGACCGGCTACCTAAACTGGAAACTTGTGTTTGATTTACCAATAACTTACCTGTTAAATCGATGACAATATGTTGGAGATCCAGGGATGACTTATTCCTATAAAACCTTCTTGTTGTTTGGTAGACGTTTTGCTCACTTGTATCTTTAAAAACGTCCTCGGTTACAGTGACTGGAGGCCTTGTTTTACTCGAAGCATGGTAATATTTATACTTTGTCCCATTTGCCATCCATGTTCCAAGATCATCCGCTAAAATGTTTTTGTAATGCATGACATGAGGTGAGGATATATCAAGAACAAAAACAGTGTTGATAGAGACTGACGTAGTAACAGCCCTGCCCACAGCGTCTTCATTTGGTTGCAAAAGAATCTCCGCAACTCTTTTCCCTTCCAACCCTTTCTTTAAACCCTGCTCATAAATTGGCAACAATGGATACATCTCTAAGAATTTGATGTCACAGCTTTGGTCATCACTATATTCGGAATCATCAAGCCTTGAATACGTTCCACTAGTAGAAGAGCAAGGTTTCCGCAATGATTCTCCAAGCTCAATCGATTCAGTTTTTACATTGTGTACAGATCTACAAATTGAATATACAATTTATTGTAAAATTAAATTAAATATACTGTGCACACGAGAATTTTTATATCTATATTTAATCATTTTGATATGGTATGGTATGGTATGGCATTTGTCAGTGTTCTTTGTATCTCAGTTGCCCTGACATAGACACACGTGACACACGTCACATTTTCAGCAAACTACCATCTTTTTACAACTGTATTATATTAAAACGTACCTGTCAGATGATTCATCTGTCATATCAAATGCTGTTATCTGTAACACAACACAACACAACACAACATAGATACTCTTTATTAATTTGAAAACCTCCAAAACAGGACAGCCTGTACGTTTACTACTTACACTTTCATAAAAAAGTACAGTTAGTTTATCCTATAAAAATCTAATAAAATTATTTGTACTATTTAAAACACGAGTAGGAGTGTTTTATCAGATACAAAACGTGAGGCGCAGCCGAGCGTTTTATGTCTGATAAAACACGACAACAAGTGTTTTGGACTTTGTCCAGTTTATTATATAGTTCATGTTAATTTATTATGGTAATAGACTTTTGTCCAGTAACATTGAAAATAGAGAGGTCAGAGGACAGAACGAACACAAAACGTTTTGAGAAACAGGGTTTTTCTGTAAAAACTGTTGAGTTGTACTAAATAAATATATGAAAACCTCATGGTTAATGAAAATTACACGCCGTCTATAACAAAGCTGGTCCTTCGTCGAGCCGGATAAGAAAGAAAATGCCAGAAGTAAGCGAAATTGACAAGTGTAGAGCGAAGAGAAAAGTCGCGAAAGCTAGCGTGACAAGAAATACGAATCGTGTCAGAGAGCTGATCTCTAGCGATGGAAGTGTTTCGAAAGTCCGACAGTTTGCCAAAGGTGTAGAAGAAGGTCGTACGAAAGCCCGTGACCTTACGAAAGAACTGGAAGAGCTTGATCCAGCGTCAATTGAGACTGATGGTGGCTGGTTAGAAGAGGTAGAATTTGATGTCAACGAAGTCCTGGGAGAAGTTGCTGAATATTTGTTAAAGTCTGAGAGCCCATCGCCAAACGAACAGTCTAGTATTACACCACCAACTGCTCAGAATAATGATGAAAATACTGAAACTGTGAACGATTCAATGTCTGGGAAAAGAACTGGTCTGAAAGGTGTTGAAATCCCATCATTCGATGGAAAACCAGATAAGTGGCCGTACTTTTGGGGAATTTTTAGTTCTCTTGTCCATAAAAATGATAAACTAACGCCAGCAATCAAGCTAGCTCATCTGAATAGCTGTTTAACGGACAGAGTACGTGAAGTTATTGCATGCCTGACCGGGGAGCCTGGGGACTATGACAGGGCGGTGAAACAACTCACTGATAGGTATGGGGACCCCCGAGAAATTATAGATGCCCATTTGCGCAGAATAAGTTCTTGGCCCCACATTAAGGATAAGGATCGTGAAGAATTTCAACGCTTTGCAGATGCATTACAAGCAGCTGTGTTTGCACTAGATATACCTGACTATAGGCATGAATTAGCTAATATACCTCTTTGTACCTTGTTGGTTCAAAAACTCCCACCTAGAGAAAGGGATGAATGGGTAAAACAGGTTGAGAGTGAAGATTACTCGGAAGACATGAAGGGTTTAGCCAAGTGGGCCCAAGTTAGAGCTAAAACCATGCGTAAACGTGAGCGATACAATATTGAGCCGCCAGATAAGGGTAAAGAGTCAACTAATTTTCAGCCACCAGGTCG